TTTTCTTCAATTTTGCTGCTGCTCGTGGCAAACCTGCGGCTGAATCACATCATTGAAAAGAACTATGAAATTTCTTTGTACAGACTATATATTATTTTCTGTTGTACTTCGTTGTCCTACAGTAAGAAGCATATAATTCTCCGGTCAAAGTCGGTGAATCTGAAAATGTGCCGAACTACGACGAACAGTTGTTTCGAAGTGGTTGTCATTTTCTTGGTGTCCGTGGCTACAAATCGGCAACGGCTTGAATCTGCCGCCGTTAGTCGTATTCTTTTTTGTGAGATTGAAATTTAGAACAAATTCCCGCTTTTAGGTATCGTTTCACGGAACTCCTAGTCCTTGTGTCACCTTTACTGTTGTGACAGTTTGAAGAATCACAACTAAAAATTAGCATATCCTATATTATTAATAAATTTCTACGTTAAGAAACTACCTGTTTGTTACAACCAAGCAATGACTCAGTTTTAATTGTCATAGGTGAACCATAGACAATGCAGCTGATGCAATATTGTCGCCTTTATACTGTAACGTCTAGTTTCCTTTGTCTCTTGTTAATTCCGGTACCGTCGAACAAACGAAGAATAGCTGGATTTTTAACAGCCAAGGAAAGAAGTAGGATTCAGAAATGGATTTAGTACGATGGACCATTTTAAAGTGGTACAAAAAGTGATTCAGACAAGCAACGAATGTCGGCCTCTCTACACGAGGCTTGTTAATTTCGAGAACTTTCGACAGTCTATATGGGATGGGTTAAAGACAGTCTATATGGAGAAACCGGACATCATTACTATGATGTACCAGAGTGCGACAACTAGCATCAGAGTATAAAGAAATCAAAAGATGCATCCGACGGTAATGCATCACCGAAGTTATTTATGACTGCCCTAAAAGATTTTCCATAGGGAAAATAAGGCTATAAAGATAGCTGGACGATAGCTACGGTGCCCGAAGATATTCTTTAACAAAAATTTCGGAGAAGAATACAAAAGCATTAATATATGACATAAAAACTTAAAGGTTCAAGTCGTTTCTAACCACACGTGACCTATCATATCATGCGTTCGATTAAATTAGGCTTGAAGAAGTAAAAAAAGCAACGTTTGTCTGGGCCAGCTAATCTGTGCAATGAAGAACCGACCATGCGACAGAAAAATATAATTGACATGGAAGACTGATAATGGTCCTACCTGAAAAACTACCCTTTCGCTTGAAACGAAGTTATTCGACCAGGTTGCTAACGATAACTTGTATGCGCAAAACATGAATATTAAAGCTGAAATCTAATCATAAGCGCAACGTAGTATGGGAAGATGTGTACTAGAAATAAAAAAAACATGGGAAAACAAATGAATGGATTATAGTGCAAACAAGGCTACAATTTCATTCCATGAGTGAACAAGTCGATATACCAATCATTTCTTGCTAAAAAAGATGAGAATGATAATTTGTCGAAATTTTGAGGATACTTTCATCAGGCAGTGGGTCTACAGGTTGATGATTACGGTAAATACGAACGATACGAAATATGATTCGATACGTCATTACTATAATGTGGACATGAACATATTGTGCAACGTGAGTATTGAAGTGCATTCTGTCATCTAATAAAGATATGTTTATTCATATCTTCATGATCGCTTTTCCTTTTGGGTCGCGGAGGTAGTCGCATCACACTGCTGCTAGCGTTTTTGGTCCTGCGCCAACATCTCAAATTCGGCAGAAGACAACTAAAGTCTGGAACAGACTCCTTCCATATATTTTCACCAGGTTAATCTTGGGCGTCCTCTGGGTCTTCTACCGGTCAGTTGGGTAAGAAACAGTTGTTTAGCTTTCCTTCCAGGAGACATACCCAAGATACTGTAGCTGTTACATCTCAATCTGGAGAAGCAAAGGCTGAACACCAAGGCTCTTCCGGATTTCAGTATTCTTGACCATGCCGAGACGCGCATTACGCGACTAGTCTAGGAAAACACATTTCAGCAGCTTGTAACCGGGTTCGATTTTTTCAGTCATGCTCCATGACTCATGACGTAGGTAGGCATGGGGATATATATATTTATATAATACTCTCATATGCTAAATCATTCTGCGCTAACAGAATAATGATGTTATCCATACACTAAGTATTTGAAACATTTACCAGAAAAACCGAGGATGCAGCATCATGAAATGAGCCACTCCCATTTGAATGAATAGACCTACCTTTGTCTTGCTCATCCGTTCTTCATGAAAGATTACTGATCGATATCTGCGTTGTCACGATTCTCTCACGAGAACATTGGCGGGCTAATATGAAGCGTTTTCTTACCAACTAGTTTGTCAATCGGATCTAATTCTTTGTCCCAAGCCCTCAGTTCTACGCATAACAATCTGCTGAACGGAATAGCATGTTCTGGCATAGTCCATAGTGCCATTAAAACAGTAATACATTGAAGCCAGCATTGCTGCATGCTCTTCAATTGTGAATTATGGTCTCCGATTACAGCCATGGTCCTACACCGCGTATTAACAAGGGGAACATTTGCAGAGGATGACATTTCTTTCTGTGTTCAAATATGAGCGAGAAAACGGAAAGCTTTGGATTTAAGACTCATTCATTCCTACCTTATCTTATTTGTCTGACACTCTTGCTGTAGATGATGGAGCCGAAAAACTGAAATATAATGCGCTAAGTGTAAGGCAAATTAATATGCCCAGACCGTAGGGTAATATACAGGCAAAACGCTAAGGTGTCGAAAGAAGAAGTGTTAAAGTAACATAAACGGTAATAATAAAATTTTTTTTAAAAACATCGAAATTCTGTGTTCTGGTTTAGACAAATCCCTTATATAAAAAATTTATCTGATTTGCATTAATG